TTTCATACATTACGTTGGACATTATTTTGTATGCCGCATTCAACAGCGTGATTCCACGGTAGTTTTCGAACCCACTAATCATCTTCTTCTTATAGTGCCCTATCCAATTAGTGGATGTTGGCGACAATTCTGGAATACTCCTCTCGATCTTGTGTGGCTCTAAAAAGTACATGGGCATCGAGATTTGTACAATCCCTTATGTTTTTAAGCCATGAGTGTTTCTTTCTTCCGATGACTCGTTTTCCTTCTATCTTCCCTTCCATAATAAGCTTTAAGAACTGGTACTTAGAATATCTAAATATATGAACCAGATAAGCAGTTTTTCTTTTTTTTATTATTTATTTTCTTTTTTTTATTATTGGCAAGAAGAATTCTCGTTCTCTGCCCATTCTATTTAATACTTCGACATTTGTTGTGTGATCTGTCAAGGGAATTTTAAGTAGTCTTCTAAATACCCACATTTCAAAGGCCTCTAATCGGTTCATCACATTGGCCGTTTTGGTCCAGGTTTCTACACCATATAGCAGTATGGAGTAAATGTAACATTTTACAAAGCGATATCGAAGCATTAAGTTGAGCCTGCTGTTGCTTAGCAAGGTTCTCATATTAGTAAATGCTGTTCTGGCTTGCTCAATCCTGCTACGTATCTCTATGTCTGGATCTAGATCTTCAGTTATCCAACTACCGAGATATCTGAACTTGGGACCTTTTGGATGTTCTTGTTGTTTACTCTTATATTCAATTGCATATTTCGTGTTCTACTATCCACCATTACCTTCGTCTTGTCTATATTAATCTTCAAGCCCACTCGTTCTCCTTCAGTGTTTATTCTATCTATTAGTCGTTGTAGCGCTTCTTGGCTATCAGCTATTATGACTGTAGAATCAGCATAGCGAAGATTACTAATAGTCTGTCCGTTGATTTTGATTCCATCTTCAGTGTCACTTAAGGCTCTATCGAAAATCGTTTCAGAGTAAAGATTAAACAGGAGGGGTGACAGAACACAACCCTGTCGTACACCTTTTTCGATTAAGAAACATGATGTAGATTCCAGTCCTACTCTCACAGATGCCACTTGATTCATATAAAGGTTCTCACTAATCATCAGTTGCCTAATATTACTTCGTCACGAGTTTCTTTTTTCCTTAAAAATATAATCATTACTCCTGAAAAAGTTAAACATCATCTTCAAAGCCTAAAAAATAATTCGTCCCCTGGTATCGACTTAATATCTTCTTTATTTTTAAAGAAATGTTCTGATGCTTTAGCTTACCCACTATATGTGATTATGTCCTTATCATTCACCACACATATTTTGCCTCCTATAAGGAAAACCGCATCTATAACACCGATTTTTAATATAAGGAGATATACAATGAGGTATTGATATCTTTAGAGGATTTGTGCGTGATGATGTCTGGCAAGATGTTGCATGGATTAGGAATATTATTCCACAATATGTGAATTAGAATCTACTAATCTACAAAATTATTTAAATAAGCTAACATCCATATATACAAAAAAAATTTGCACATGCTTCACCTTACAACATAATACATTTTGTATCTTTTGCTAGTAAGAGCAAACTATTAAATCCGATAAATGCCTAACTGATAGTGACGAATGTGCCACAGAAAAGTCAGCCAGCTCTACCTCCTACAACACTTAAAGATAAGTCGCGTAATCTCTGGCAATATATGGCGTATAGGCGGGTTTCGGCGCCTTATAATCGAAACATGATTAACACGTGTTAAGGTACTTTTCGCAACCCCTTCATGAACGAGACATTCAAATTATGGTCCTCATTCTCCGTAGGCACAAATGACACTGATTTTCACTTTAAGTGTTTAGTTGGTGACTTTAATGCCAAAGTAGGAAAGAGAAACGACAAAAAACAAGTCGTGGGCAAGTATTGAATCGGTAAGAGAAATGAAAGTGTAGAAAGACAGTTTTCACATTACTAAAACATGCCAATTCGAAATTCATTTTTTGCGAAAATATAGAATAGAAAATGGACTTAGGTAGCACCAAATGGAACCACTAATAACGAAATTGACTTTATTCTCACTGACAAGCTTGCTAGAAAAAAGATGTCAGGGTAATAAATAAATTTCAAACAAGCATCTACCATAGACCAGAACAAAAATTGTACTAGATCTGAAACTATAAGGAATAAAATTAATCACACAACTAGCAGTAGCGAGTACAAATATTCAAAACTATAAAGAAAACTCAGATCACTACCAAAGGACACTTTATGAAAGATTACATGACCAAGTCGAAAGTAGACAGCTTTCAATTAATGGAAATAATCCTTGATAGTGCCAAAGAAATCTGAGGCCCGCAACAACAAAATAAACATAGTAAACTGTCTGATAAAACCAAAATAATGATAGAACAAAGAGGGGAAATGAAAGTAAATAGCAACACACAGATAATACAATACAATACAAGATTGGTAGAAAAAGAAATCAAAAACTGGAAACACTAGAAGAACAGCATTAATAATTGGGAAGAAGCAAATCGTTGATCTAACAAACGAAAATACCAGAGTTACAGATAGAACTGAAATAATACAATTCGTGAATAAATTCTTCAGCGAACTTTATAAAGCCCCTGAAACACTTGAAGATGCAATCAGTAGCCAAGAAGATGTACCAGAAATCCTTTCGGAAGAAATAGAATCGACAATTACAAAAATGAAAAGCAGTAAAGCAGCCGTAATAGATGGCATAACAGTGGAACTGTTTTAAACACGTTGGCAAAAAAACCTGTAAAATTTTAGCAGATATATTTACAATCTACCTAAATCAAGGTGCATACCAGACCACTGGAATACAGAAAACATAATTCTAATTCATAAGAAAGGTAGCAAAGATAATATCAAAAACTACAGACCTATAAGTCTACTACCAAAGATATACAAGATATTCACAAAAATCAAGGTAAAAATTTATGAAAATACTCCAGAATTTCTCACTACCATAAGCGTTCGACAAGGAGACGAAATATCGCCAAAGCTCTTCTCTGCAACTCTAATATATTCAGCAAAATGAACTGACAGAACAAAGAAATATCTGTTTCTGATTCTGATTGATAATAATCCTGCAGAACTACAAGAACTTATAAGCGACCTAAATACAGCTAGCGATGAAGTTGGCCCAAAAATAAACTTGACAAAAACAAAAATCATGTATGGACAAAAACGAGCTAGTGGATGTCCAAGATGTAATAATAAATAACATTGCACTTGAGACAGTAGACGAGTATGAATACCTGGTACAATTAATACATAAATCTGGCTCCTTACTTCCAAAAATCAACAGAATAATGAAACTGGCTTGGGCATCTTTTGGTAGAAATGCAGTTATATTCAAATCGAAGATGTCAATCCACCTGAAGAAAAAAGCATTCGATCAGTGTATACTACCAATCATGATATACGGCTGTGAAACTTGGACACTAAAGAAAGAGATAATATCAAAACTTAAAGGACAATGGAGCGATGCACGCTAGGTATAACAAAGAGATATCGAAAAAGAATAGAATGGATCAAACAGAAAACCAAGGTTACTGATGTAAACCACAGAATTAAATCCATAAAATGGCAGTGGGTAAGATATCTTCTTCTTTGGGTGCCGTCTTCAATGAAGGTTGGCGATAACCTCAGCAAATTCATTTCTATCCCTGGCTTTTCTTATTAAAGATTGAGAATCCAAACCAGTCCACTCACGAATGTTCTTCAACCAGGACGCCTGCCGTCTACCAGGACCACGTTTTCCTTCTACCTTCCCCTCTATAAGAAGCTGCAGTAGCTGGTATTTCTCACTTCTGTATATGTGTCCCAAATATGAGGTTTTCCGTGTTTTCATTATTTTTAAGAGTTCTCTGTCGGTACCCATCTTGTGTAGGACCTGCTCGTTGCTCATATGCGCTGTCCAGGGGACTTTCAGCATCCTTCGAAATAACCACATTTCAAAACTTTCCAAACGCCTGAGTGAGTTGATTTTGAAGGTCCAGGCCTCCATTCCATATAGTAAGGTGCTGTAAACGTAACATTTCAGCATTCGGTATCGGATTTTGAGATTGAGTGTTTGGGACGTAAACATTTGTTTCATCTTTAAAAAAGACATTTCTTGCTTGTTCAATTCGCGATTTTATTTCTATGTCTGGATCTATATCTTTCGTTATCCAGCACCCTAGATATCAAAATTTCTCGACATTTTCGATAATATTACCATTCACGTTTAAAACCATGGGTGGATGGATGGATGTCTTGGAGACAATCATTGTTTTTGTTTTCTTGACGTTAATGCTGAGGCCGTATTGTTCTCCGATCGATCTGACGCGATCTAAGAGTGTCTGGAGATCCTGTGCGCTCTCTGCAATTAGGACCGTGTCGTCGGCGTATCGTACATTATTTAGAACTCTGTCGTTAATTTTAACACCTTCTCTTGATTGCTCTAGTGCTCGTGCAAAGATTTCTTCCGAATATATATTGAAAAGTAGTGGTGACAATACACACCCCTGTCGTACACCTCGCTTGATATTGAATATTTCTGTGTCACCGGCTTCTGTTCTAACTGCTTTAGTTTGGTTAAAATACAGCGTTTGGATAATTTTAAAATCGTTCTCGTCTAGTCCCTTTTTGTGAAGGCAATCCATCAGCTTATCATGTTTTACTTTGTCGAAGGCCTAGGGTAAGTCGAAGGGTAAGATATAATAAACAGAAAAGATTAATTAATGCCAGTAAATAGTATAAACAAGCAAAGTTAAGGAGTAATGGCACACCGTACTGATGACGATTAAATACTCAGATATAATAGAAATACCTATTTAGGGTTGCCTTCCACCGGTAATGCCTTTTTTCTTTTTTTTTTATTTTCGTTGCGAACTATGCCATTACTCTTTGCCTTTGTTTGTACTATTTACTGTCATTGATTATCCTTTTCTGTATATATTTCCTAAATTATCTAATAAAAATACCACACGTTTTTATTCTATGCTTGTATTTCCATGAGTATATATTCCACTACATACATAATTACAAATCAGTACAAATTTAATAACGTAATAAAAAATAAAAGGTATAGATAAACTCATTTTGGTATAATTACTACGCATCTCGGACCAGTACAAAAACATTAAAAAATATAATAACTTATTAGGTAATCATAAACTATCAAGCTTGGATTTTGTAGGTCCTGGTAGCCTTGACGTTGTTCACGGACATTTCCTAAAAAAAAAAACAAAAAATCAATTAAATATGTTAAAAACTAAACTTTAGACATTAAACTTTGATGATATAAATTTCGACAGATTTTTATATACAAAATTACCTTACCACTACAGTGAATGTAATTTGAGTAATATTATTAAAAAACAATCATGTGGTCATAGCGTAAATTATACTCAGTCATGCACCTCTAACGAAAAAATAACTTTTATATGTATGAATAAAAACTGTAGTTTAAAAAATTGGGAAGAATCTATAGACCAAAAATTAAATTATGTAAATGATTACTCTTATAATTTTCTTTGCCTAAAACAACAGTAAACCAAATCGACCATGTGGCGGTTGACGCAAGACACTGCAAGATAAACTAAGAGCTAGAATCTCCAATGCAAATAAAGAAAAAGGAGTTAAAGAGGAAAGGTTTAAAGTAGAAGCGTCGAAGAACCCTGGGATAGCTAAGAAATTCGAGGAAAGTCTCTCTTGTAAGCTGGAAGGCTGCACGGATGATATATTTGAAGATATTAACAACTATTGGAGGCAGTGTAGAGCCATATTGGAGGAAGTGGCAACTGAAGTTATCGGAAAGCAAAAATGTAAAAAATTAAGGTCAGACTGGTACGATGAGGAATGCGCACAAGCAACGCAAAGAAAAAATCAGGCATATAGAAGACTCCAAGGGTGAAGAACAGAGGAAGAGAATAGGCAGCTGAGGTGAGAAGAAAAACGAATACTAAAAAAAAGGAAAGAGCATATAGAGAGCCAAGTAAAAGAACTAGAGAGCTATAAGGAACAAGCAGAAACGCGAAAGTTCTACAAGAGGATTAACCATAACAGGAAATAATTCAAACCAAGATTATCAATCGTTAGAAATAGAAGAGAGATCATTAGTGATCAGGACCAGATACTAGAAAGGTGGGCAGCAACCTTCTAGGAGAGGAAAGGTTAAATATAAGAGGTGAGACCGGGCTCTACGAATCAGAAATCCAACTCGAGGACATTGATGACGAAAAAGAGAAAGATAACATTCCAAAAGAGGTAGAAGTCATCCAAGCTATACAAAAATTGAAAGAAAACAAAGCTCCTGGGTCAGATGGCGTTCCTTCAGAAATTTTAAAGCATGGAAAAAAACCTGACATACTGTATATGTAGACTGGTAGAACTGATCTGGAAGCAAATAAAGTTGTCAGAAGACTGGAATGTAGGTATAATTGTACCTATCCATAAGAAAGGAGATCAAACAATATGTGACAATCGTGACTATCGGGATAATGTGAAGACATAATAGGTAAATATCAGTGTGGGTTTCGTAAAAAAAGATCAACGACCGATCAAATATTCCTTCTAAGGAAGCTCTGGAAAAAACATATGAGTATGGCATTGATACTCATCACCTGTCTGTTGATTTTAGATGTGCCTATGATAGTGTTGAAAGAAACGCACTGTACAAGGCCATGATAGAATTCAGCATGCCAGTACACTTACTTAGTAAAATTGGTGAAAGAAACCCTCTCAAGAGTGCAGAACGGAGTTTCCAGAGTCTCAGATAGGACTTGGACAAGGAGACAGCCTATCATTCTTAGCCTTCTATTTAATATTGCACTAGAGAAAGCGATAAGAGAATCTGGAATAACAACCAGAGGGACTATTATTAATCGCAGCGTACAATTACTAGCGTACGCCGATGACATCGACATTATTGCAAGAAGAAAGGTGGACATGGTCGAATCATTCAATGCGTTTGAAGCAGCAACAAAAAGAATGGGACTAGAGGTTAACACTAGTAAGACGAAGTATATGATATTATATACAAGTAGCACAACCCGAAGATCTAACGATCGGAACATATACTTTCGAAGGAGTAGTTTATATATCTCATAAATTAATCAGAATAATGCAGTAAGTGCAGAAATTAACAGACGGATATATCTGGCAAATAGAGCCTATTATGGATTAATTTTTTTAACAAATCTAGTTATAAAAAGAACGAAACTAGTGATATAAAGAACTCTTATCAAGCCCATCCTCACATACGCGTCGAAAACATGGACAATAACAAAGAGCGATAAAGAACGTTTAAGATGCTTTGAGCGTAAAATCCTCCGGCATATCTATGGAGAAGTACAGGAGGGCGGATTATGGCGCAGACGCTATAATTTCGAACTTTACAGCCGGTATGACAAACCTGATATTAGGGGGTTAGGTCACATAGAGAGAATGAATGAGATAGAGCCGCGAAAACATATTTATAATCAAAGAATATATGGAGTGAGAAAGAGAGGCAGACCCATAGCACGATTTAAGCATCAGGTGGAGGAAGACTTGAGAATGTTGGGAGTATGAAACTGGAAAGTCAAGGCGAAGAATAGGAGAGAATGGAGACTTTTATCCTTGAGCAGGCCAAGACCCACCATGGGTTGTAGAGCCAATGATGATGATGATGATGAAAACAACAGGTGGCGTTAGGAGCAAAAATAATAATTTATTGAATTTGTTTAAAATATAAAAAATAAATAAATAATAAAATTACTTGGTTTAATTTTAATATATTATTTAAATTTTATAAATACAGAAAACATAGTATATAACTTTTTATTTTTAAACATCTTATTTAGTTTATATAATAATTAAATTTACTATCCAATGATATTTATTTTATTTTCATCATTTTATATAAATATAATTTCATATAAAAACCCCCTCTGTGGCTCAGTGGTAAGAGCGCCTACCTTTAAACCTAAAGGTCGTGAGTTCGAATCACATCTGGGTGGAGAAATTTTCGTTTATTAAAAATTATTGAATGAAAATAATTTCTATCCTTGTGCGATCGGTACTCACCGGAGGGACCGCAGACGTTCGGATACAATTAGCGTCTCTTAGCAAAGACAATGAAGTCGACTTTGCTAAGTATCAAGACAATTACTCTACACACACACATACACACACACACACGCGCACACACACACACACACACACACACACACACACACACACACTACACTAGGTACCTGACTGTACCATGCCAATGATCTTAGTTCCCGAGGCATTAACTCAATAAAAAAAAATTTCATAATACAATATTGTACTTTTGTACTTATCAGTTCGACTATTATATTAAAGTGCGATAAAAAGAGTTATTACCTAGTACCTAAAACATTTTCATATTTTTATACAGTCACATCGGAAGAGTCCATTTGTCTAAATAACGAGCGGGTGACCGTTATATAGGTATACAAAACATCAAAATTGATCATAATTTGCTATTTTGATTTTTGAAATGTTTTATAATTTTTGTACAGGAAACGTAAAAAAGATCTTGGTAACGAATGCGGTAACGCATGTAAAAAAATTAAAAAAGATACAGCAAAAAAAACTGCTGCTGAATAAAAATTTGATTGAAAATATTATGAAATTGTAAATAGAATAGTTAAATAAAAACAACAATTTAGATGTTTAATATAAAACGTCACGCTAGTCTACAGTATCGTCTACTGAAGCCTTTTGTTGTGAAAAGACCGATTGATGAAGACCGGCTGGTACAGAAATGTTTAGTTATTATTCCTCAGTGGACCTTTCGTCAGACCATTCTCCCATTTTAACTGACCTAGACTCCACAGTCATACTTACAAGTAAGCTCTCAGTCCCAACCAATAACCAAATAAACTGGAACATATTTCGAAGTGCACTTACGGAACAAATATCAATGAACTTGTCACTCAAAAACAGAAATACAAATGCTGTACAATACCTTACTACTTCCATACAACAGGCGGAATGGAATGCTACTCCCGAACAGAAAATATGGAAGGAAAGCATAAATTGTCCTCTGAGTGAAAAAGGCTTGAATGAAGAAAAAAGAAAACTAAGGAGAAAATGCCAAAACACACACGCACCTATTGACAAAGCAAACCTAAACAGAATTACCAGAAGACTTAAAAATCTGTTAAAACAAGAAAAAAATAAGGGAATCCAAACTTATCTAGACAATCTAACGCCGATCAAAGATACAAACTATTCTTTATGGAAAGCGACCAGAAAATTAAACGGGCCACAAAATGTCATATCTCCTTTAAAAAATGCCAATTTGAAAGTATTTAGTTCATTTACAAGAGAAGCGCCTGTAGAACAAGAAGAACAACTTCATTCTTTTCTTGACGCTCCATATCAAATGGAACTAAAAAAGAAGTAAAACAGATAATAAAAAATGAGATAAAATCCAACAAGGCGCCAGGATACGATCTCATTACAGGTAAGGTACTTCAAGAACTAACCCATGATTGCTACACAATAATTACAATGATCTTCAATGCTATGTTACGTTTGCACTACTTTCCTTTGCAATGGAAAGTGACACAGGTTATACTCATTTAAAAACATGGTGAAGATCCAAAGGATGTCAACTCATACCGACCCATTAGTTTACTCCCAATCATTTCAAAAGTTTTTGAAAAACTTCTGTTAAGAAAAATCAAACCAATATTGAACAAAAAGGGTCTTATACCTGACCATCAATTCGGATTTCGTAACCAACACGCTACAATAGAACAAGTTCACAGATTATACACAACAATAAGAACTAGTCTCGAAAACAAGAAATACTGTACTGCGGCCTTTTTAGATGCATCTAAGCATTTGACAAGGTGTGGCACACATGACTTCTGTACAAGTTAAAAAAAACCTGCCTTACACTTACTTCAAACTGCTTAAATCATACTTTACAGAAAGAAGATATCAAGTAAGGTATAGTGAAGCCCACACAAAACTCTAACCCATGAAATCTGGTGTACCTCAGGGTAGTGTGCTCGGACCGATCTTGTACCTGTTATATACGGCTGACTTACCAACAAGCAATAACCTTACGCTTGCAACATTTGTAGATATCCTAATATCTCATTGTAATCCAGTGATAGCATCAGATATATTGCAACTACATCTAAACAAAACTAATGAATGGTTTAAGCTCTGGAAAATTCAAGTAAATCCCTCAAAGTCAACATACATTACATTTACTTTAAGAAGAGGTATATGTCCACAAGTTAACCTCCTGGATATCCTTTAGTCCAAAAGGATGACGAAAAATATCTATTCTTTCATCTGGACAAAAGATTACTGGATAAAAAACTTTACTGGATGTTTGGAAAAAACTCACACCTATCGATCGGCAACAAGCTACTGATATACAAATCTAATGTTATGAAAATACAAAGATTTCAATCTAAAACTCTAAGAACAATCGCTAATGACCTTTGTTATATCCTGAATGTCACCTTACATAGAGATCTTTAGGTACTAACAGTCTCTGAAGTCCTGAAGAGTGCAAAATAATTTCTGAACAATATCAAAACAGGTTGAGCGTGCATCCTAATACCCTGGCATACAATCTTCTTCACAACCAACAAGTGAAGAGATTATAGCGGTATGATCCCTTGGATCTACCAAACCGTTCCTGATAGCGCCTACAGTAGTGGAAGCTACACCTTCAACAGCGCCCAGCCATTGTGATGTATGCCGATTTTAGTATTGGTGTTCGCGTATCTGTGTATGTGCGCATCGCACCGGCAAACAAGCTAATATTTGCGTTATGATGCTTTGGTCACTGGTCATTATATCGCTCTGACATTGTAAAGACAAACAATTTTACTTATTGTTATTATTGTGAAAGCGATTGTAAAAAATCTTAGATGTTAATAAAAAAAAATATTTCTCAGGTTAATTGTATTCAGTGTAAGAAAATGCATCGAGTTCGAAGACACTAAAAGGACCACCTTCTTCTTCTTCTTCAGTGCCTTATCCGGTCCAAAGGTTGGCGATCCTCAAGGCTATCATAGTTTTGTTGACTGCTCTGCGAAACAGCTCCGCTGAGGTCATCCCAAACCATTGTCGGAGATTTTTCAACCACGAGATACGACGGCGTCCCGGTCCTCTTTTGCCAAATACTTTACCCTGCATAACGAGTTGAAGAATTCGATAATTTTCTTCGTTCCGCATTACGTGGAGGGGTACTCAAGCTTACGTTGTTTAATTACATTAAGCACTTCTTTTTTTTTGTTATGCGCTGTAGGACCTCAACGTTGGTGACATGGTCCACATAAGATATTTTTAGTATCCTTCTGTATATCCACATCTCGAAGGCTTCGATTCGTTTTTCAGTGGCTTGCGTCAGTGTCCAGGCTTCAACTCCATATAGTAACACTGGAAGAACGTAGCACCTCACTATCCGCATCTTGGTTCCCAAACTAAGATCACTGCAGCACAGAAAGGATCTCAACTTAATAAATGTAGACCGTGCCATTTCAATTCTGGATCCAATCTCTTGAGCGTAGTCCCATTGTACGTTGAGGGTAGTTCCGATGTAAGTAAATCTGTCGACTCTCTGGATCTCTTCGCTACCTGCAATTAGTGCCCCGGGATCTAAATTTGTACGGCTGACAACCATGAATTTAGTTTTCTTAATATCGAGGTTCAGTCCGTATGTTACGCTCACAGTTCGCACTCGGTCTAGTAAGGGCTGCAGATCATTTAGGCTGGTTGCTAGTAACACAGTGTCATCGGCGTAGCGCATATTATTGATGTATTCACCGTTCACTTGGATTCCCATGTCTAGGTTTGTGAGTGCTTCATTAAAAATCTCCTCAGAGTATATATTGAAAAGAGTCGGCGATAGCACACGTGCTTGCCTTACTCCTCGCATGATCTTCACTTGGTCGGTCAGCTGGTCTTCGACCTTGACCTGAGCACGCTGGTTCCAGTATTACCATCATGTTTGCGATTTTGATAGGAGTAGAATTGTTGCCTATAGAGATATGTTTGTCGTATCGCGAAATTGTCTGTCGTGTTAATTGTACGACAACGCCGGTTATCAGTATGTGTCGTGTATGTACAAACGAAGGTAGTGGAACATGAAGAAGACCATCTGGTCAACCAAGTGTCAAGATAGGCGCTTTAGACTTCTAGCTCTGCGAGACCGTTTTTCTACTCCACTTAAAATCGCTGACCAATGGTTTCCAGTAGAAAGTAGACCACGACTAGTGCTTTCTTTGACGGCGGACCACTGTAATCAACGTTTCAATTGTTGCAGAGAACGGCAGCATTGGGTAGCAGAATGGCATAATGCAAAATTTAGCGATTAATCGCAATTTTGTTCAGGAATGGATTATCGTCGTTATTATGGAATGGTCGTAGGATGGTGAGACGTTGCCCGAGATATCGGACTTCATGTTGTTAGAAGGTAAGTTTATAGGACAGTTGAAGTAATGGTCTGAGGGGATATTGCCTACCGTAACCGATCATCGCCGATAAGGTGCGCGTTATGTTGATGGCTTCTTACACACCACTTTACTGTCTTATATAGACGGCCGTGGACACATTCATTTTTAGCAAGACAATGCGCGCCCCCCATTTTACTCGTCGAACAATGGACTTTCTCCAATAAGCTGGAGTTAATGTTTTGCCGTGGCCACCCCCTTCACCGGATTTAAATCCTACTGTTCAGTGTCCACTTTGCACCATCCTCCAAAGACTAAGGCACACTTAATCCATGAAGATCAAGTTACTTGGTACAAGGTGTAACAAGCAGACATTGATCACCTCATTTTGTCAATGCCTAGACGTGTACAAGAGTGTATTCAGTTACGGGGTCGTCAAAAACATTATTCATTTTTTTATTACATGTTAATAAAAAGTCTTGCCAACGTTATGGTTTGATTCTTGATATAAATGTATCATGTTGGCAAAAAAATTAGTTCAAGAAACTATTCCATCTGGGTGTAACACTCCTAACTTCACTGATTAAAATACACATTATTAAAATCTACTTACCATTTTAATTTCATCGGCGGAAAATGTCCTATCAATTACAGTTTCTGCTCCACTGGCATCCTTTTGGACTTCATGCAAAGTGTTTCCATTAATTGTAATGGTAGATTTTACCTTACGACCATCAGGAGTTTCTTGGTCAAATTCCACTCCTGGCTTGAATTTCAAAATTACGTTTTTAAAGGTTGATATCGATGATAGAACATACTCATCGCCTTCCTTTTGTAGATCCACTACTGGTGAAACTGCTGCTCCCATTTTGCGGACCACCAATCCAACACCTGCAAAAAATCGAAATTTGAAGTAATTTATAATACCAACACAAATAATATTGTTTCTGTTATTAAGAAACATAAGTATTATAGATAGTGAGGGACAAAATTCGAGAATGGGCGATTTTAGAAACAAATTCTAAAACAAGTCGATTTTTATTTTTGAATTATGATTTTTGCCATAATATATTGTACTAGTAACGTTATACATCTGGGCGTGATGACATAATCGACGATTTTTTTTTAATGAAAATAGGGTCGTGTGCTAGCTCGTTTGAAAGGGTAACTCCTTCTAAAAACTTCAACCTTTTTTTTCATTTTCGCAGCAACCATAATTCTCACTGTCTGACTTACACATTAAGCATAGTTTTCGCTTTGTGACTTGCACATCTGCTTATACCTCAAAGAACAGCATCTGGTGAAGATACCTACTGCCAATTTAATATAATTTTTGCTTATTTCGAAAGGGAGGTTTTAAGTTTTAGGTAGTGATTATAAAAACTTTTTTGTATTCCAGGTAATGTTTGCTAGTATTTTTATAAATCTCTTAAATTTGCTGACCTTTACAATCACAAACAAGCTTAAGTTAACTACACTTTAAGGCCTCTAAAGCCGTTCGCCTGTCTAAAATTTATACCCTATTTCTCCAACTCCAAGTGATAAAAATATTCGAACATCCATTATAAATTATCATATTTTGAAAATATTTTGTACATAAATATTTTGTATGCACCTCGATTATCAACACATTCTTGGATGTTGTACTATACCTATTGAAGTAGATTTTAAAGAATTAAACTTAAAACATCGATACATAATATGCACGAAGGAACCGTTTCTCTGTTCTGGTAGAATATGGATGGGGTCATTTATAGAGATGAAAAACACAAGAAAGAACAGATACAAAACAACACAAAAGGAACGCCGAAGAGAACAATTCTTAAAAAAAGGGTGTCACTCATTTTAAACGTTTAAATCTAAAAAAAACAAAAATGGGTTATTCACAAAACAAAGAGAAATAAAAATAAGAAAATTATTAAAATAAAAGATGGTAAAATTCACGATATCCAAATATATTCATTATATCAAATATTATAAATATCACAAAGTAATCGAATAAGGTAACCAAATAAAGATACCAAAGATATACAGATATATATATATATATATATATATATATATATATATATATTTTTTTTTATATATATATATATATATATATATATATATATATATATATATATATATATATATATATAAGATGGTGGTATTCTTGACTGTTGATTTAAATATAAATTATGATTTTTGAGGATGCAGTCAGTTTATTTGGCCCACAAGACAAAGAAAACTCTTTGACTTACTGTCAAGCTTTCGAATTTTATTTAATTCTTTTTCAAGACATCTATAAAAAGAAATATAAATTAACTAGTTAAAATTGTTAATATTGTCTTACTTACTAGTCGTGAGATTACAGTTGTTACTATTATTATACTTTACAAAACAAACCATTATAAATATATTAAAAAAAATTTTATTAAAAATAACTATATTGTCACTATATATGTCATTGTAATTTATAATGGTTTGTTTTGTAAAGTATAATAATAGTAACAACTGTAATCTCACGACTAGTAAGTAAGACAATATTAACAATTTTAACTAGTTAATTTATATTTCTTTTTATAGATCTTGAAAAAGAATTAAATAAAATTCGAAAGCTTGACAGTAAGTCAAAGAGTTTTCTTTGTCTTGTGGGCCAAATAAACTGACTGCATCCTCAAAAATCATAATTTATATATATATATATATATATATATATATATATATATATATATTTATATATATGTGTATATATATATACACACTCAAAAATGTTTTGCATATTGCAATATTTTCAAAATTATCCACACAAATTTGGTGAAGTCTATTTTTTTTGTAACAAAATACTTTATTATATATAAAACTGTTTGTTTTGAAAAGAAACAATAAAAAAATTTAAAGAATTAACAATTTATTATTATCATGTATAATATGTATTACAAATATATTTTTTAAATTTGTACAGATATAGGAACTAATACTTAATATGCCGTATTTCCACCTCTTGCATCAATGCAAGACTGAATGCGATGTCCCATGCTTCTAATAGTGTTAAGTAGTTCTGATCCATGGTGCCCCATTATTCAATCGCTGCTATTCTAAGGTCTTGTAGTGTCCTTGGGAGTGGCTGCCGGGACTGAATTTTTCTTTTGAGCATATCTCATCCGTGCTCAATGGGATTAAGGTCAGGTGAGCAAGGTGGCCATTGTAATCTAACGATATCTTCTGTCTCTAAAAAATCTGCTACATGTCTCGTACGATGGGGAGGCGCATTGTCGTCCATAAAAATAAATTCTGGACCAACAGCTCCTCGCCACAAGCGTACAACAGACCTAAGAATGGTAGTAATATAAATTTGTCCATTCATGTTACCAACAATAGGAATTAAAGGAGTTTTATTATTTAGCATGATGCCGCCCCAAAACATTATGGAGCCACCTTGATATGGGACTCTTTGGACAGCTTGCGTAAGTCTATCCTGTCGATTTGGGTTCCTCCAAATCCTAATTCGGCGATTATCCGACAAAAGGCTAATTTTGGTTTCATCAGAAAATAAGACGTTTCCCCATCTGTTGTCATGCCATTGTAAATGTTCATTGGCCCATTCCAGTCGAGTCCTTTTCTGCTCTAATGAAAGCTTTGGTACAAACAATGGTCTTCTTGTAAATAAATTCGCCGAATGTAACCTGTTTCTAATAGCCTGATCGCAAATTACAATATTATGAGCTTGCTGGAGCTCTCTTCTAATAGCTGGGGCAGTCATAGAGGGGTTTCTCCGGGCAGTTAACGTTAAAAAGCGTTCTTGGACATTGGTAGTAATTCTGGGTCTTCCGCTTTTTGGACGATCGCAGAATTCGTCTCTCGATATTTTTTCACAATCCGAGACACATCACTCTGATTAACTCCAACCCGGACAGCAACGTCGACTTGTGTGTGGCCTTCCTCAATCAAAATAACGATTCTAGCTCTGTTAAACTCAGATATCACTTGCCTATTCATATGTTTACTACAAAGTGAATAAAACGCAAACCAATTTTTACAAATTTCAATTTTCGAAAACTGATGAACACAAAATGAATACTAAGAATCTCTGCGACGATTAAGAAACAAAAAACAAGCAGTAAAATACATTATTTTAGTAGACAAAAAAAAATCAGTGCAAAAAATTTCAAATTAGAAACGTTCAGTGGCGTTACAGATAATATGCAAAACATTTTTGAGTGTGTATGTATACAAAGATACCAAAACATCAATTGAATTGACTTAGAATAGAAGGCAAAGTACTAGCAATAAAAGATAAATCTGTTAATCAAAACTCGGCACCAGCCGAATCCTGCATAAAAGAAGGCACCATACTTGGACGCGCGGGAACTGAGATTCTTAATAAGGACTAATTTGAATTTCCCAAAAGGAATAAATTCGGATTCCCATCGGAACAACCTGGGAATGTCCAGGGGATAAAATTTTGGATTACCAATGGTACAATCTGGGACCTTAATTAGATGGAAAAGATAAAGTCAAATATGCTAAGAAGCAAGATACAAATAAAAAGGTATAAAAAAGATCTTACCCTTTGATAAGATAAACTTCTCTTACAGCTTGACGCACAGCGGAAATTGAAATAAAATTGAAAAAGTATGCTTTTGTATAGAAAAATATTTAAATAGACAAAGGTACCGTTACTGGGTGTTTTATAGGCGGTCGGAAAAGACAAAACTTTACTTGACTTAACGGCATATTTTTCGGCAACTCCTTTAAACAGATTATTTATAATAAACAGACCGTATGGCATTTCATGATATTACTAAAGAAGTATTTCGATAAAAACCTTGAAGGGATTACTTTCTATATTTGCAAACAAAAGTCAACGGCAACTTATTCAAAACAGATAGGTGAGTAGTTGAACCTATTTACTATTTATTACTTTATTAGCTAAATATATTTACCAGGTTTTTTATTAGAAAGTATAACCAGTCTAAAATAATTTCTTAAACAATTTTTACAAGAATTAAAGTTATGTACTGTGTTTTTTAAACCTATTAAAATAAACGAATATTGGACAAGATAAAAACAATGAGCTTTTGGACACGTTACAATGCGGCTGGTTACGTTTCTGATTAGGTGGTTAATATTTTCCTACAGTATCTTGTTCAATGAATACAGAAGAAATCGTTGGAGATTATCAATGCGGATTTAGACCGGGCCGCTCTACAATTGACCAGATATTCACAATAAAACAGATAATGGAAAAATGCTGGGAGTTTGATCGTGAGCTTCATCAGATGTTCATAGATTTTAAACAAGCATTTGATAGAGTATGTAGGGACAGACTGTGGACAGCGATGCAGGAACTTGGCTTTCCAAAAAAACTAGTCCGGTTGATACGGATGTGTATGGAACGGTCACGATGTAAGGTGAGAGTTGGACAACAATACTCGGAGACATTTGACATAAACAATGGACTAAAACAGGGAGATGCACTTTCACCACAACTCTTCAACTTAGCTCTGGAGCACATAATCAGAAGTGCAAGAATCGAAAAACCGAATACAGTATTTCATCGAGAAGGACCAAACTTACTACTGGCATTTGCAGACGATATAGATCTAATAGGAAACACGCGATTAAGGATGAAGGAGACTTTCGTAAGGTTTGAGAAGGAAGCAGAGAAGATGGGGCTCCAAATCAACGAAAACAAGACGAAATATATGTATATGAGCCGCAATAACCAAAGCAGAGACAGAATCGGTCAGAACATTACCATCGATGACTTTAACTTTGAGCGCGTTAGAGAATTCAAGTATCTTGGAACAACAATAACTGAAGACAATAACGGATCACAAGAAATAAACAACAGGATTCAGGCCGGCAACAGATGTATTTTTGCCTTCCAAAACCTTATAAAATCA